TATCCGTCCAATTAAGTTGGCAACGCGGCGTGCTTCTCAAGTTCTCTGAAAAGAACACGTTTGCGAGCGATGTAGTTAACTATTGACTCATCTCGCTTGCGCTTGGTGTCTTCAGAGTACGTAGAAAAAACTTATGGAAGCCTGCGGTCTTGGTATTCGGCGAAACCCTTTGCTTTTAAATGCTTGACCACAACCTGCCTGCTATCTTCGGCGGACAACTGCTCCTCGGTAAGTTCGTTGATAACAAGATTGAGGTCGTCCGTTGCGGTATTATTGCTGCCTCTGTGGCATCCTGGTAGTAGTGAGCCGCAGACGTAGCTCTTTCATGCGCGGCTCTAGGCAGGTATCAGGCGGCATATTTGGAACCTCCGATCGTTCAGGAAATTGTCCCCGTTGTCGATCAAATGATCTCAACATGGCGTCACCCCAACAGGTCGGTGCGAACGGCGCCGCACTACCCCGCAAAGGCGTGCTCGACCCGGCCGCCCCAGACGGCGAGCCACGGCCTTGCAGGTTCCAACCCGATGAGGTTGCTTGCGTGTTGGGTTGTTATTGTGTCCCCTGCTGAGCAAACCAACGGGCCCAGCCAGCATCTGACCAGCCCCCTTCGGCATCGCCTTCCCAAGGAACATCCCCTCGCCCTCCCCCTCCTGCCCGAGGACCCACACCTTAATCTTGCCAGGGATCTTCAATGACTTCGTCTTCTGATGGTCGAGCGTCTGCCTGGCTTCCAATGGCGGCGCCCGGCCTGAGAGTGGAGGCCGGAAGAAACGGGAGAAAAGGGTACGTCACCCGAAAGCCGAATGACGGGGAGAGCCTGCCTGATTCTCCTTGGATCGGAGCCACGCAGGCTCCGCTGCCACTGTGGAATAGTGCACTATGGAAATCGCACGGAACACAGTGAGACACGAAATGCAAGTAGAGGGACCCGTGCTGAGGGAGAGCACGTACTCTTTCTTGTTACGGGGGCTCGCGCGCGCCCACAGCCAGCGCGACACACAGCTCAGGGGCCCTGCGATCCGAGACGGCCGCGGGGCGGGGAGGAGGGAGAGAGGCGGAGGAGGAACGGCTGAAATACACATGACAGCCACACCCTCCTCCTCCTCCTCATCCTCCTCATCCTCCTCATCCTCCTCCTCCTCCTCCTCCTCTACTACTACTACTACTACTACTACTACTACTACTACTATACTACTACTACTACTACTACTACTACTACTACTACTACTACTACTACTACTACTACTACTACTCTACTCCTACTCCTACTCCTCCTCCTACTCCTCCTCCCCTCCTCCTCCTCCTCCTCCTCCTCCTCTCCTCCTCCTCCTCTCCTCCTCCTCCTCCTCCTCCTCCTCCTCCTCCTCCTCCTCCTCCCTCCTCCTCCTCCTCCCTCCTCCTCCTCCTCCTCCTCCTCCTCCTCCTCCTCCTCCTCCTCCTCCCCCCTCCTCCTCCCTCCTCCCCTCTCCCCTCCCCTCCCCCTCCCCCTCCCCCTCCCCCCTCCCCCTCCTCCACAATTAATTATTCAATATGAATACTACTCTCCCTCTTCCCCTGATGACGTCTTGGGAGTGTTCGCCCCCCCCCGCGTACTGTGTTTTTACGCACAGGTTTCCCCGGAGTTGGGTTTTCGCCTGCATTTTTTCCAAAATGCTGCTCTCGCTGAGGCACGGCCTCATTTTCGGACCCCGCTCGTTCCGAATCGTGCTCCCGCTGCAGCGCTGGCATCATTTCCGCCGGCGCCCAGGCTGCACGCCCGAGCCGGCGCCCGGGCCGGCGCTCGGGCCGGGTCCGGAGCCGGTTCCGGCCGCCGCCGGAAAATCGAGTTCCGAGGCGGCGCCGAAAAAAGGCCATTCTAATGCACATCGTTCTTGTGAAAATGCTGAATTTCTGCTTCTGGCGCCCGGGAGATCTCCCGGGCCGATTCCGACGCCTGGGCCGGCGCCCGGGCCGAGTCCGGAGCCGGTTCCGGCCGGCGCCGGAAAATCGAGTTCCGAGGCGGCGCCGAAAAAAGGCCATTCCTATACACATTTTTCTTTTGAGAATGCTGAATTTCTGCTTCCGGCGCCCGGGAGAACTCCCGGGCCGATTCCGGCGTGCTTCCGCTCGTTCCGAGTCGTTCTCCCGCTGCAGCGCTGGCCTCATTTTCGCGTTTCCGCTCGTTTCGACTCGTGCTCCCGCTGCAGCGCTGGCGTCATTTCCCGTGCCATGCCACGACATGCAATGCAATGCTAGGTTGATACTACGCTTCGCGGTGCTCTTCTACGCCATGCCACGCCGTGCTCTACAATGCATCGCGTACCCTTTCGGGATCATTGCCCTGCTCGACATCCGACTGTACGAGTAGAGAGGGGATCTGCGCCATGGTAAGGGATGGAGGGAGGGGTAGGATGTCAGATACGACGCGAGCGCACCTAGCTTGTCCTCCTCCTCCTCCTCCTCCTCCTCCTCCTCCTCCTCCTCTTCCTCCTCCTCCTCCTCCTCCTCCTCCTCCTCCTCCTCTCCTCCTCCTCCTCTTCCTCCTCCTCCGCCTCCTCCTCCTCCTCCTCCTCCTCCTCCTCCGACTCCGACTCCGACTCCGATTCCGACTCCGACTCCGACCCCGACTTCCGACTCCGACTCCGACTCCGACTCCGACTCCGACCCTCCGACTCCGACTCCTCCGACTCCTCCTCCACCTCCTCCACCTCCCTTACTTCCTCCACCTCCTCCACCTCCACCTCCTCCTCCTCCTCCTCCTCCTCCTCCTCCTCCGACTCCGACTCCGACTCCGACTCCGACTCCGACTCCGACTCCGACTCCGACTCCGACTCCGACTCCGACTCCTCCGACACCGACTCCGGCTCAGACTCCGACTCCGACTCCGACTCCGACTCCGACTCCGACTCCGACTCCTCCTACGATCCTTATTCCTTATTAGAATATACTCTTACTCCCCCCTCTGGCCGGCCGATAGCGGCCCCATCCGGGCCCTCCCATCCTAACTGTGAAAAAACAAAATCAAGACCGTCGTGTTTTCTCTCAGCATGACCTTTCTTGTCGTCGACGATGCGAGATGCGTAGCAAGAATAGGACGCGGCGTTCATCGCGCGCGGCCGTCAATCTGGGCCCTCCCATCCTAACTGTTCAAAATGAATACGAAGTCGTCGTTGTTCCTCTCAACATGGCCTATCTTGTCGTGACGATGCGAAAGGCGTAGCGGCAATAGGACGCGGCGCACATCGCGCGCGGCCGTCAATCCGGGCCCTCCCATCCTGACGGGTAAAAATCAATACCAAGTCTCCGTTGTTCCTCTCAACATGGCCTGTCTTGTCGTCGACGATGCGAAATGCGTAGCAGGAGCGGGACGCGGCGCACATCGCGCGCGGACGTCTGTGGCAACCCCAAGCGGGAGCGGCCATCCAACCTATCAAAAACTAATACAAAATCGATGTGTTTCTTCTCAGCGAGGACTTTCTTGTCGTTGGCTTTGCGGAATGCGTGGCAGGAATGGGGCGCGGTGCACATCGCGCGCGACAGGGCAGAATGTCGCTCCCGCTTCGGCGCCGCGCGCATGTTTCCTGAAAGTTGCACTCCCGCTACGGTGCGGCGCACATTCTTCGCTCGCCAAGTCGTCGAGCGCCTAGGGCCCCCTGGGGCCTCCCAGGGTCTCCTGGAACGTCCTGGGGCTTCCCGGAGCTTCCCCAGGGCCTCGTGGATCCTCATGGGCCTCCTGAGTCATCCTGGGGGTTCCTGGGAGTCCCCGGGGCTTCCTGACACCTCCGAGAGCTTCCTGGAGCCTCCTGGAACCTCCTGGGGCTTCCTGGGCCCTCCTGAAGCCTCCTGGGGCTTCCTGGTTCGCTAGGGCTTCCTGCAACCTCCTAGGGCCTCCTGAGGCCTCCTGGGGCCTCCTGAGGCTTCCTGGGGCCTCCTCGACTCGTGCTGAAATGCCAGCGCAATCTTTGAGACGCGCGAGGAATTCCCCATCGGTAACCACCATCGCGGCTGCATCAGCTGTGGCAAACCACTCTGCGATCTGCCTTCGGTCCCAGGTTGCGCTGGCACTGTTTCTTATGTTGTGGGAGGGCGGGTAAGAATGGGCATGCCATGCTTGACTCGCTCGAGCTGGCTAGCTTGACTCCTACTCCTACTCCTACTCCTACTCCTACTCCTACTCCTACTCCTACTCCTACTCCTACTCCTACTCCTACTCCTACTCCTACTCCTACTCCTCCGCATCCTCATGGACCGTGTGCCATCCGGAAGGGTGCACAGAAAGCAGAGAGCTGGCCCGCTGGTGGCCTGGTGTTGCCGGCGGCGAGGCAGGACGAGGAGGGAGGGGTGCTCAACCAGAGGGGAGGGCGAGGATGAGGATCAGAAGGGGGAGGACTTCGAGCAGCACGGGCGCTTGCCAAAGGAGAGGCCTGAAACGACGCCGACGACTCACGGAAGCCGACGGTGGAGCCGATGCACCGTCAATCCCTGGAGGACTCGCCCCCCCCCCGACCTCCCAAGACCTCCCGCGCCGCGAAAAAAACAGCACGCCACGCCGCCCGGACGGACGGCGCACCGTCGGCCAGATGGACTGGCCCTACGAAGGCAGCCCGGGCGGGCTGGGGCCCGAATCAGGAGTCGGAGAAGTGGGAGCCAGAGCCAAAGAGATGGGAGCCGGAGTCGGATGGGAGTCGGAACTGAACGACGCGCTTTGGTTACTGCATCATCTCCCCCAACCTGACCAGCGTCTAGAAAGCCCCAAGACGGGCCAGGAGTGCCCCATCGTGCGAATGAAATATCTGGTGCCAGCGCTGGAATAACGCTGCCAGCCTGCCACCACTTAAACGGCCTCTACTGCCCACCAAAACCACGTCCGCCACCGCCAGGGAGAGAGGAGGAGGAGGAGGAGGAGGAGGAGGAGGAGGAGGAGGAGGAGGAGGAGGAGGAGGAGGAGGAGGAGGAGGAGGAGGAGGAGGAGGGAAGTGACGACAAAATTTGTGGGCACACTCGGGGCCCCTCGCCTTGACAGGGATGGAGGAGGCCCCATCGGCTGAATCATATGGCT